TCTCCGGCGGTGCTAGTGAGGTGGTGGTGCTGGCGTCGTGGTGGAATAAGGTTGTTGGAGTTTGATCCCCATCCTGGCAAGGTCCTATGTGGCGGAGTCGGCGAGCTTCCGACATGGTTTCCTCCTTGATCAGTCGGTCTGGTGAGGTTTGGTTCTCCTGGTGTGGTCTTCATGGAGGAGGTGATAGCCGGATGTGGGAAATTTGGTCCCCTGCTTCTCTCTTTGTCGTGGTAAGGTGGTTCCTCACCTTGCCATGGGGAGTTGGGTGTTATGTGGCGGTGCATTGGTGGATGCCGGCAGCACATTTCGTCGTATCTTCAGGTGTTGTTTGTGGACCTCTGAACTATGTTTCTACCAGCGTGGTCAAGTGATGGCCGTTCTTCCTTCTTCTGGCTGTTGGTTTTCGACCGAGGCTGGTGACTTCTCGTCCGTGTTTCAGTCCGTTTGCAGGTTTCAAGATCGCGCTGGCTCTGTGTGGGAGCGGCGGCAACGACAGCAGTGGCGCGCCCTCAACCTGCGTGGTCAGCTCCTCAAGGATCTGTTTGTAATTTTCATTCTTGTGGGGGTGCTTTGTACCATTGGCTTATTTCAGTATAGTTCGGAGGTATTTTCCGCAAAAGAAAGAGCAAACAGGTTTAGTATTTTTTTTAGGAAATGTTGGTTGTTTTTTGTTTGCAAGATTATATTCCGTTCCTTTTTTAAGTCACTGATCTAAAACGCCTCTTCCTGTCATCACGTGTCCTGCGGCGCGACGCCTTATCTTCCTCCCCCTCGTTCCCCACCGCTGAAATCTTATCCTCTCGACCTCTCGCCCCGTTTCTTCCTCTTTTCCCCCTCCCTCTCACTTTCCTCTTCTTCATTCGCTAGGCAACTGTGTCGACGGGAGACGATGCATGGCAGTGTGTCTTGCTACGAGAAGCTTCCGTCGTCCGGGCGCGCTCCGATGCTGCCGGAGGAGGCGCTGTCGTGCTCGCCTGCGCGCGCAAGCTGCGGGTTTTTTGCAAGGCAAGGGCTCGCTGCTGCTAGCCCGCACGAGCTGGCTCCAAGGGCCAGGCGCTACAACTTGAGGAGCTCGAAGCCGACTACCTGTTGTGGCTCTCCGGAGTTACTCATGCGACGTGGTGAGTGATGTTTTGGTGGCTGGAGACGCTGTGCGTGTGGGGATGGAAGTGATCTTGTGGTTCTGTCATCAGTGAATCTAGTAGCCCAAATCAGACACATTTTCTATTTCTCAAGGGGCCGTCCGTCCTCCTGCTGATTGGATTGTGCTTCTTCGTTCTGTTCCCTTCTTCCTCTGGTTGTTGATGCCTCAAGCAGCCGCTACCGATTGTGTGCTTGTAGTTGTTTCTTCAGTTCCATTCCTCTGCTTGTAGATGCCTCAAGCAGTTGGTGTATATAAATTGATCCTATTGATTACAAAGGAGCGAGGTGATACTATTTTTTCTGATAATAAACCTACTTTTACAGCAAAACCACGCAACCACAGTCGTTTCTATTCTTCCCCATTCGCAAATCCCCCCTTCTTCCCACTCCAGCAGCCCGGCCTTCCTGCCTCCGACCGCGCTTGGATAGGAGCTCTAGCTATGCCACGAGCAGGCCATCCCAGCAGCTGTCGCCGCCCCTTTGTCCTTCTCTCTCTAGGCTTTTTCCTTCTCCTTCTTCTCTTTGTCACTCTTCTTTGTCTTCTACAGGGAAGGAAGTCGCCATGGAACAACCCCGCCGCCTTGGAGCTCGCCCCGCCTCCGGCCCACCACCTCTCCGTCGGCCTCGTGCTCCTCCGCCTCGATCCGTCTGCCCCGCCGCCCAGACCACCAACCAAGCGGCGCCTCTTGCCTGTCCTGTGGTCGCAGGTCGAATAATAAAAACTGCAGGGTCCTTTATGTTAAAATGAATCGTTTTTTCGGATTAGCCACTTAAAAATAGGACCGCGGGTTGAATTCTCAGAAACAGATGGACTTTTATGCAAAATCGCTAGCGACGACGACGGACGATAGAAACCCAACTTTCTTTATTATTAGGTAAAGATAAAGATAAGGGAGAATTCGTCTAAAAACATACATATTCACATTCTACACAGAAAAACATAACGCACACACACAATTTCCGCTTTAAAAGTAAATTCATGTACACGATACGTCCAACAGTATACTTGTATACACATTCTTTTTGTATTCTAAATGACGTATGTGTATATTATGTAGTCTGTACTGCGTCTGTGAGTTGCTTGCTTCTCCGGGGACCGAGCTCCAATCGACCGGTCGGATCCCCCAGGCCAGCAGATCCAACGGCTGCCCTTCCCCGCCTCCGGCCTGCACATACATAAGCTCAGCGCCGCCGCCTCCCTCTCCTACCGGCGCGCGAAATCTAGATAGCTAGCAACGTTGCGGCCTCCTCCAGTACTCCTCTCCTTCAACCAGCAAAAGCCATGGCGACCGAGCCGGCGTACACGCTGCCGATAAAGTCCGGCAAGGCGGGCTTCGAGGGCTCGCAGGATGTGCTGCACAGGGTCCGCATCACCCTCTCCTCCACGAGCGTCAAGAACATCGAGAAGGGTATGAACGGAGGCTTACTTCCTTCCTTCTCTTCTTGTTGATCTGATTGTTCCTTGTGCTGGCAACAAACAGTGTGCTCCGAGCTGGTGAAGCGCGCCAAGGAGCAGCCGCTCAGGGTCAGGGGGCCCGTCAGGATGCCCACCAAGGTGCTCAACATCACCACCAGGAAGTCCCCCTGTGGAGAAGGTGATTACTCTTGCGGTCTTGCCACTCTGGTCTCTGCTGTATCCCATTTGCTTACTTGCTTTGTGTTGTATATATGCTCTACTTGGCATGCTCACGATAATACCTCGCTGATGTGGGTCAGGAAGTGTCTATGGATTGTTGTTGTCTGTTTAGACGATAGGACTGAATTGCACTCATGGTGATGATAGCATGCTGAGCAAATGAGGCAAAACATTTAGACCACTGAGTGTTAGAAGTATAATTATGTTTAAGTTAGAGATAGTATTGGTTTAAACCATGTACGACTTCTTTCATACACCAAGTCTCTCTCATATTGTACTCTATATATATCCCACACCTGGGTCAGATCAATAACAACAATATTCATCCATCCAATATTTTCTACACTGAGATACTTTGGGTCTTTGATGTCTCTAAATTAAGCTTTTTGTAATTGATGATTGGCATGCTGTCACCGTAATTGTTGTGTTATTCTGTATCTAGAGTTCTAGACATGCTTAGTTCTGTTTGTGCACTGTAATATCAAGTACAATGGACTTTGTCGGATGAGCATATGAAGGAGATGCTACTGAGATGTCACATCATTAAAACATCTTAAACTGAGCTTTTTAAAGGCTGATGCCGGGTTTGTCTAGTGCTGCTAGTAACTTTCTTACGAGAAGAGTTGATTATTGGCCGTCCTACGTAGGGATCATCGATTTTGGCTGTGTGCACCGTACGATGCAAAGGCCGGGGTACTCCCCCTTTCGAAAAAAGGGATTATCTGTTTATCAGTTAGAACTCATCATAGCCAAATTATCCCGCTCTTTGTGAGTTTGCTCTTGTGTGATGGTAGATTTTGGACTCTGCTTAATGATGGGCTGGTACATCCTTGTTGTGTGGGAGCTTTCGGCACTGGGTATGTCCTTTTTTATGGGCTGGTCAGATGGTGCTAAATCAAGTTATTTATGAGATTCTCTTTTGAGGACTACAAAATCGAGCTTTTTAAACTTATCTTCCAAACATTTGCCCCTTATAGTAGAAAGAGCCATTGAGGTGCTCAATCTCTGGATGCATGTTTATAATTAAACCACGCGTGTATTACCATATAATTGTCACCCTGTGAATAATAGGACTACTTGTTAGTCCTGAGCAAATGATGATTCCACATGATGTTTCTGATACATTTGATGTTTCGAAATCGAGATTTAATCCCTTGCACAATCTCTGTATAGGTTACTGTTGTTATTCCTATGTTAATTAATGCCAGCTTTTCTTGGTACAAAACAAGGTACCAACACCTGGGATCGGTTTGAGATGCGGGTGCACAAGAGGGTGATCGACATCATCAGCTCCCCAGACATCATCAAGCGGATCACCTCCATCACCCTCGAGCCCGGCGTCGAGGTCGAGGTGACCATCAGCCAGTAGTCAACCCTCATGCTACCCTACCACAACAGCGCCATCTTTAATCTGTTGTTACAATGGGTGGAGAGACACCAGTGAACCAAGACGTTTTCTTTGAGACTTTGTAGTATGAGAAGTAGTTTTTGTATGGCTAGGTTTTTGTTATCATGATTCATAGTACCTATACTATTGATTAAGTTATCGTCTTGGATTTTGTGTATTTCCGTAGAGTGCACGTCGTTATTTCAGCATCTCCAGAATTTGGTAGCGTTCTTGTTTGGATGTCATTTTTGAAATTTTCCATTTTTCATTTTAGGATATCTAGGACTTGCCTTTGCTACATGTTTGTGGATGCATACATGGCATCATTTCAATGTTGTTGTTCTAAAATAGGGAGAAAATAACAAGAGCTAGCTGTTCAATTAACATCCAAAGAGAATCACTACCAAATGCTGGAGGGGACACCAACCACCATTAAGCACATCACCATGTACTCTTACATAAGCCTACCAATTCATGGGCCAGCGCATTACTTCCTCTTATAATGGCCTTCACGCCTTCCATAGGTCATTTACATGAGCACTGATTTGTTATGCATGCCCGGCTGAAGCATCTCACATACAATTTCAGCTTTAAAAGTAACTTCATGTACACGCATGCGACGTAACCTTTTGTTGCCAAACCAACGTGGCAGCAGGATTTTTTCTGTTGACACCGAGCAAGGCAAAGGGGGTAAAGGACAATAGAAACGCAGAGCATCGACTATATTAATTCACAAAGTATGGATTCCCATTTTCTCTGTTTTGAGAAATTTACATTCAGAAACATCGAACAGTGTCGCTTCCACAACCACCGAAGCTCTCCAGTTTCCTGAGACACTAAAGCATGGCACAACAAATTCTCCCTAATGTAATGTCAAGGCAAATCTTCAGGGACAAAATCCAAACCGTCTAACCGATGTGCATTGCATAGGTCAAAGACAGCCGAAGGAAACGTATCCTGACATATTCAGACATGTTAAAAACACAATATCCCAGATGAGGGTTGTCTTGACGGTTCCACTGTCCTGGGTAAAACAAACTCAATATCACCACAATGATGATTTAACCAAACAATCAATAGTATGGAAATCCTTAAACAGTCCAAGCTTAGCAAGCATGTGAGCCTCCACCTCCACGAGCCATGCTGCTAATTGGTGTTCACACTGGAAAATAAATCGACAGAAATTTAGAACAGGATTTTCAGCAGGCATGATATTGCAACTGCAGCCGCGAGTGTTCAATGGTTGTTGTCACAACAATAATGCTCAAATATCGTTTTCACCTAGAATGAAAAGCTATAAATGACTATGAAAATACGATGCTAGCGAGAACTTGCATTGCCAGACGGAGAAACATCTATTGGGAACATCACATTGGAAGGATGCCTTCCAAAATTCCAGTAACTAAATGAGACGCTTTGAAAGGTGAAACGTGTGTTCAATGCATTGTTTCAGAACACAAGTAATCTGGCACATGGTTTAGATCAAGAAGATGCCCATGTAATCATCCAAGCTTCAAGCAAGCTCATAGATATGTGTCTCCAGAGCTAACTAAGTGTTAAGCTGTAGTTTTGTAGTAATCCCTCCGTCCCAAAATAAGTGTCTCATTTTTAACTTTATACTCTAAAGTTGTACTAGAGACGAGTATTTGTCTTCAGTTAAGTGTACAATTCAGTTTAGCTGTCACTCTGTTTTCAGTAGCCGTGCTTGGACCAAGTCTTGAGTTGGTTGCATCCACTCTCCACGTCCTGCACACGTTTAGCACTTGCACTTGCCTAAAGTCCTGTATAAATACCTTGTAATCACCACTACTACTGATTCATGCAAGAATTTAGCTTTCTATCATGGTATCAGATTAACCACCCGGTCCTCAGATACATTCGGATGGTTCCCGTCCGCTCGTGCCTCCGCTCGTGCCTCCGGCGACGGCAAAAGCCCTGCCGTCAGCGACCGCGCCCTTGTCACTGCCCTCCTCGGTCCTCGCCAGCATTAGCGACAAATTTGATAAACATGCTTTTGTGGTTCCTGTACTTCGTCCACCACCACCATTCTCCGAGGTGAGTCTATGCTGCAACTTGAAGAGGGCAGCCAGGCACGCAAGGTCTCCAGTCTACAGGTTTACGGTCTACCACATCGGCGCCAAACCACAAGGCTCTGTTACCGGCGGCTGTGCCCCACCTCAGCAGCCTCCGGAGCAACCACCTGCTCTGTGCCCTGCCTGGCAGCCTCGCCCATCAGGCTACTGCTGATCCTTGGACAGGCCTGGTTCAGGCATGGCCTGTCCCTTGGGCCATGGGTGCACCTTACATCTGACAACAATGTTTCTATCGAGTTTACATCTGACATATGTTCGTCAATTTACATCTGACAACAATGTTTCTATCGAGTTTGATCCCCTCGAACACTCTGTGAAGGATCTGGCCACTCGAGAGGAGCTCATCCGATGTAAAAGCGTTGGTGATTTGTAACCTTTCCATGGCATTGGGCAGGCCATCTCCACATTTGCATCATCATCGTCATCTTCAGCCTTCGTAGCTTCTGTTAATATAAGGCATAGACGTCTAGGCCATCTAAATCAAACCATAGTTTCTTGTTTACCTCAGCAGTTTTCTGTTCCATGTAGCAAATCTTCTCATGAACCATATATATCAGCATCAATGACATCCACTTCTGCCCCTTTTGAGATGTTACACTGTGACTTGTGGACCTCCCCTGTTATCAGTATATCTGGTTACAAATTCTACGTTCTTATCCTTGATGATTTCACTCTACGTGTGTACTTCTCCATTACGACGCAATCTAACGTTCGCAATCTTTCTGCATTTCCAGAGTTAGGTTGCCACCCTTTTTTCTTCTCCCATTAAATCCGTTCAATGTGATAATGGCAGGGAGTTTGATGATACTAGAAACAGGGAATTCTTTTTCCAACATTGTATCGTTCTTAGATTCTCCTGTACCTACACTTCTCAAAATCGAAAAGCTGAAAGAGCTTTGAGAACAACTAATAATATTTTAAGAACGCTGCCCTTCGGATTTAAGAACGCTGCCCTCGGCGAACTGAAATAGTTTTTTTACATAGATAAAATACTTAAAAAAACAAACAGGCCGCGACTACAGGCCGAATAACGCGCTGAGAGAGGCGAGGTCGCCGTCGTTGCCGCCGCCGCTGTGGTCGTCCTTCTCCTCCTTCACGCGGACGCCACTGCTGGACCCCTGCCCGGGGTCACCCTGGCGGACCGGCGGCAGCGGCGCGTCGTTGTCGTTGTCGTCGTCGAGGACGACGACGCCTCTCTCGTCGCGGCCATGGCGCCGAGCGGCGAACTGCTCAAAGGCGCGTCGCTGGCGCTCCAGCTCCGTCCGCGCCTAGTCTTCGCGCGCCCACTTCAAGGCCGCCGCGTCGTCGAGCCCTGGTTCGGCCTTCACGGCGGCGAGCCCCGGCTCCGTCTTCGGCTTGACAAAACGGGAAGGAGCCAAGGAGGAGGCGCGCCCGCCCTCGTTGATGACGATCACTACAAGAAATATGATATCTTGTGACCTCCACTATTGGTCACTGAAAGGTCATAGTTTTTCATTTGCGACCTTTTTGTGACCAAAAACAGAAGGTCAAAAGCTGAGGGTCGTAAACTGACTATAGCGACCTTCTCTGTGAGAAGGTCGTGGACGTTTACGACCAAAATATTCCTACTGTGGTGTTTTGGTCACTAGCAGCCTCCCTAGTCCACGTAGGCATCCAGCGTGGCAAGCTGATGTGGCACAAGATTTAGCCCGGTCCATTTCGGTGCTTTAGATGGGCCGAGCACATTAATTCAGCCTTTTTACTGTATATTTTCTCTGTGAATTTTGTCTAGCTGCATGGGCCTGGCCCAACAATTTGGCCTTTTTTTATATTTTGGGTCATGGCCTTTTTAGTTTTTCAGTATATATTTTTCAATCTGGTCCCACAAGTTAGATGGGTCCCACTTGTCATAATCTCCTATATTGGTCCCACATGTCAGAAATGTGAGCATTGTTTAGATTTTTTTCACAAATGGGGCCCACTAATCAGGTTTACATTTCACACGTCTTCAAATCACACAAATAATCAATATTTTAAATAGAACAAAAAATGTAGAATTTCTTAGGCCTGGAGCTCCTGTACATAGTCTATTACAATCTGTGCATACTGTATTACAACCCAGATATGCCTACTATTACAGTACTATAATATTTACAGTTTATTACAATCAAACAGAACAAATCTTTGCTGTTAGGGCTACACGCCCCTTTGAACTTGAAATTTCCTAGGCCTGGAGCTCATGTAGGCTACCTTTTGAGCTGTAGATTTTGACATTTCCACCCTGTTACATGAATAGGCTAAGAAGAATCAGAACAAATGGACCTAATATATTATCAACATTCCATTCAAAAAAGGACAATTCTATATATAGACTGATAACACAAATCCAGCTAGTACCATGCTTTTTTATTCATAAAAGAAAACAGAGACTATGAATATGCATGAAGTGCAGGTCCTGTAACCTCACTGCAACACATTGCACCTAAAACAACAATGCCATTCTACTACCACGGCCATCCATTCAATAGGCAAGATCTAACATAACATAACATGACATCCATTCTACTAGTCAAAACACATACACTAACATGACAAACGCAGGAGAGAATAAAGGGAACCGAGAGAGACACCGTCGATCTGGATTGAGTTAGCATTTGTGAGAAGGTAGATGATCACCATGGTGTGCTTGATGATGCACACGACCATCATCTTCTTTCCACCGTTGCATCCGTGCGCTCGATGATGGGGGTACCAATGCATCCAAGTAGAACAAAATATAAGAATAAGAATAAGAATGAACATATAAGAATAAGAATAGGTACAGAACATGTGCAACTCTCTAAATTGATCATAGAAATGAAAACTGTAAGAACGAGTTTTCGAATCCAGGCATGTCAAATTTTAAGCACGAGCAGAATAGATCTAACA